TGTCACAGGGCTGACTGGGAGCCATATCTGAGTTTCCACCAGCATGGCTCACACAGTTCTCTCTGCCCTTATATTCTCAGAGGCCCCGCCCCATCCAATTTGTAGTCCCACCCAAGTTATTTGCAGCAGCTTTTCCAAATGAATGGCCTGTTCTGGCTCAGGCTTCAGACTTTGCTAAAATCTCTCAAACAAGCTGTAGCTGGTGTCAGCATGCCCTAAACCTATCAATAAAAGGCCCAAGATGCAGCATTAGCACCAGCCTGCCTTGCTTCACAGCTGTGCCTTGCTTGGGCACTTTCAAACCAATACAAACAGCAGGCATCTACAGATGTGGTCCCAGGCAGTGGCTGACTTTGCACCTCCCTGCAGGCCATAAAGCCGGTGCACCTGGTGGACAGCTTCAGACCGTATCAGCTTATAACTCTACACATCCACTGTGACACATTCAAGGGGCAGACTCAGGGAGTACCAAAGTCCCACTGAAGCAAGTCCTGTCTCCTACATAGCAGCTCTCCCACTGTAGTCACAACTGGTCTTCACAGCCTATGGCCTGGAAGTCAATTCCTCCCACTGACCCCAAAAGCAATCAAGGCTCAACTACAAGAAGACTGTGCACACAGCCCACACAGGGGTGCACCTAGAGTGCCCAGCTCAGGTGACTAAGGAGGCTGAGTCTCTGGGCCCTATAAGACACCTACTACACAAGGCCATTCTACCAACTCAAGGAGATGTAGCAGCTCTACCTAACAGAAACGATCACAGGGAAGCAGCCAAAATGGGGAGACAAACATATAACAAATGAAAGAAATGGAAACTAGATACAGAGTTCAAAAGCACAGTTTTTACTTGAGGATCTTATGAAAGCTTCTAGGGACTTAAGTGAGATTTTCAAGGGTCTTAGTGAGAATGTCAAAGACATGAAAAAGGAGCAGTCAAAAATTAATTATACACTAACTGAAATAAAATAATTTACAAGGATCCTAGCCGGCTTGGATAGAAGGGATAGAGTGTCGGCCTGCGGACTGAAGGATTGTGAGTTCAATTCCAGTCAAGGGCATATGCCTGAGTTTCAGGCTTGATCCTCAGTAGATGGTGTGCAGGAGGCAGCTGGTCAAGGATTCTCTCTTATTGATGTTTCTATCTCTTTCTTCCTTTCTCTCTGAAATCAATAAAGAAATATATTTTTAAAAAGATGTTTCTTTGAACTATGTCTCACAAAATCAAGCAGTTATTAGATATGATTCTACTAATTAAAATGTGCTTACCAACTCTCTTAGAGTCTATTTGCAATGTTTAGAGCTCCACCAAAGTACAGTTTTTGCTTCTAACAGTTTGAGTTGTCTACAGTAGAAGGAAAAATACTGGAAGACAAGGATCAGTCAGAGCACAGGTCCCAAACAGTTCTGCGTTTGGTGGCCTAAATACATGTCATTTTGTCATCTAAATTAATCTGCAAGCTGACCTCAGCACAAATACTGAGAACATGCTAACAGAAGCCCTAAAGTCTCTGTAGTCTGGGGTTACATAAGGGTACACAAGAACTGCCAAAACAATCAAATTTCATGTTATTTAGGGAAAAGAGAAAGCCAGCTGTGCAATTCACTGTGGATAAACTACAGCTTGACTGGGGCTATAGATTTGTCAAGCGTAGCTGGTATAATATTAATATTTATGTCCATTCTGAGAAAAGTCAGAAAACTCCTGGATGTAACACCAGGGGATAGCAGAGATGTAGTAATCTATTTAAAGCTGGCAGAGCACGGTTACAGAAAAAAGTATTAACAGAAAAGGAAAGGAAAAAAAATGCCCTCAAAAGGTACATGCCTAAATAGGAAATAATGTGTATGTTCTAAGAAAGTTCCACGTACCAGGGAATAAGTTATGAGTTAGAGCCTAGAGGAATTTTTGGAGGGCAATTCCAATCTCAGGCAGAGAATGGGTAATGACAGCAGTAGTGATAGTAGCAGCAGTGGCTGGAGCAGAGTTAACTTAGACAGTGCTTCCTGTTTGCCGGACACTAGTTCTAAGCACTTGTACTGACTTGTTTAATCCTTACAACATTGTGAGGCAAGCAAACCATTTCAGAGAGATGAGGCAACAGCCACAGGAAGATCAGAGCCCAGCTGGTAGGTGGCAGAGCCACTTCAGGGTGTCCTGCTCCATTTCCAGAGTTCTCACTCTTACCATATTCTATTACCTGTCTTTGGAAAATACCACTGTTTACCTGGGAACCAAGAAAGTACAAAGGAACTGCTCTAATTATAGACTACACTGGAGAGTAATTTTAAAAAGAGTGAGTGGACAATGCAAAGCTTTCAGCATTTATTAAAAGCCTACCATGTGCCAGGCATTTTTATATTTTAGCACAGTAGGCAAATGACTACTAAGACTTATATATCCCCCAACTCACCATAAATATGTATTTTAATGAAGTTTATTAAATGGTATATTTGAATTTAAAAGGCAAAGATATATCACAATAACCAACTGTAAAAATTAAGCACTTTTCATTGCCTCTTCACAAGAATTCAATTCTGTTCTTTAAAAAAAAAATAATAAGCATTTACAGACCAGGCATCATGCTAGACACAGAACATATAAAAGATGAATTTATTAAAAATGGTCCCTGTTTTCATAAATTTCATATTCTATAATCTTATACCATTTGCAATTATCCCTATTTTACACAGGGAGACACTACTCAAAAGGGTTAGAATGATCTATGTAGGTCCAAGCTATTAAATAGCTGAGATGAGATGTGAACTCAAACCCACTCACTCCAAAACCCTTTCCTTTTTTCTCTACAGCAAGCTGATAGTGCTTCTGAGAGTAAGAACTAGAAAAAAATTTCAACTGATTTCAAATAACAAACACAGAGCTCCTGCTCTGTTTAGTATTTTAGGACTCTTTCATGTTCCTTGAGAATCTGAAAAGGGGAAGTGTAAATTCTAGACTAAATCCTGGGTTAGGAAACTCAAATAAATTGAGTGAGTATAACACAGGTACACTGTAAGATTCACTCATGCTATAAACAGTTGAACATCTATCTATCATCCATCTATTTATCTATCTATCTATCTATCTATCTATCTATCTAGAGAAATATGCTAATTAACCAGGACCCTGTAACGGGTCAACTGGACAGGAGGAGGTTGCACATGCAGTGCTGGGGGCGGAGCAGCAGGGGCCTCCAGGAGCCTGTGCTGCGGGAGGGCCTGATAGCTGCTTCAAGGGCCAGAGAGGGAGGCAGGACGGGACCAGCAGGGCCAAGGCAGGGCCAGACCAGCGACTGGAGAGTAGGTGGAGCTGCACCATTTCAAATCACGTGCTGGGCCCCTAGTTTAAAAATAAGCATTGCACAGACTGCAGATGGGTGGGCCTCTACCAGAAAAATGGAGGGGAATGTTAATTGCAGTAATTCCCAGTCTTTGGAGCTGAAATTCCTCTCCTTTATATCTTGTAGGTGGGTAATTGTAATAGAAACCCAGTGAGGGTCCAACAGCTGCCCTCAATCCCTGCTCTGTCACAAACCCACTTAAGTGCATTCTATAATAAGTATGCGATAAAACTTTCTACTATTTACATAATAAGTGACAAGATATTAAAGATACTGTGCTTCATAAAGAAAGGATACTCTTCACAGTGAGATGTATTGAATAGATGCAGCTATATGCCATTTTACTTAACTTTGGATCCAAAAGTATGCATTTATGAGATGGCTAAGGTTTGAGAATGTAGCATGGATCCACTTGACCACCTCAAAACCATTAGCCTAGATTTGTTAAATTATGCTTTGCCCAAACTGAATTAATCAGGGATAAGTGATCCCCTCCCCCCTCCCCCACACAGATTTCCAGGACCAACAGTCACCAGCTGCCCAGATACCAAAGTATTATGCTTCCAAAATCTCTTGACGTCAATTTTGCATGTAGAGCAATCAAGTTGCCCTATGTGTGCCACTCTAACAAGAGCACCGGTTTTTAAAAAATAAATAATTTTGAAAAAATAAGTTAAGGAAATGACAGATCTTAAGAAATGAATTTAATGAGTATACATAATTTCATCAACATCATATTCTAAAAATATTAAGAATATGTACTCTTAAAATTATTCAATATAAAAGGGACCAAGGATCATCAAATATAATACATATTTAAAAATACAAAAATGATATGTTTCAAAATACAAAAATGAAAAAGTATATATACTTAGATATTATAACATTACTATATGAAGATATCTGAGTAATGAAAATGGATTTATAGAATCCCATGAAAAATACTTAAAAGCAGAATGAACTAAAGTTAGTTCTTTATCAAACTTTTCCCAACTACATTTTTATAGGCCTTATCATAAAAGAAGATCTGCTTTTTAAAGTGTAAAAACAAGGTCATAAGCAGTAATTCTCAGAATAACTTGATTGAACTCTACAAAATTACACATACATTTTTCTTTTGAGCTCTAAAATTTGCTCTATTGTGCAAAAGATCTCTAGAACTTTTTCATCTTGAAAAACTGAAACTGCTATTTCACCTCAAGTAAGCACCAAGACATTTTAAAACATTATGGGTCAGTGTATAAGAAAGCAAAATATATTCAAATCGAAGCCCACCAGGAGGACATAATTTGGACAGAGACTACAAAAAATAGGTTATTTATTTATTTTAAAAAGTAATTTCCTTTAAGGCCGGAAATAATGTCTTATTCATGTTTACGTCCACAATACAGAGCTATGCAAAGCACTCAATAAATATCGTTGATAGCATCAAAGAAAGCAGTTTAAATACAGTTTCATAATGTAATTCAACTTATTCTTTCCTATTCAATAAGTTGGTTCTCTAAGAACCACTACCAGGAATACTCTGTTAGCTTACATTTGCACTGATTTAAAAAAAAATTTTTTTAATGTGCTACTAATTCAGGTTTCAAAATTCCCATGACTATGTTCACAAAATAATTTGTTCACATGAATGGTACATAAAAATAAGCTTTCTACTTACCATATAGTTGCCATAAGCATGATCAAACATTTCCAGTACTTGATTCCTAATTTTAAAAAAGCAGAAACAAAAAAAAAAGTATATTCTATTTATTGTTTTCCAAGAAGTAAATGTTCCTCCATAAACATATACCAATAAAAAACAAACATAAAACATTTACTTGGAAGAGGACATAAGCAGAGTCAGGAAATACACCAGTGTTAGTCGACAAGCTTTCGTGAACCACACAGAGCTGGGCCAGAGTTTTAGTATTCCTTCCTAACAACTCATGTAAAATTCATCTTATCATTTTTCCAAAGAAAACTGATGAATGATACATGCCATGCAGAGAAGGAAATGTGATGCTGAAAAAATTACCTCTTAACAAAATTATTTAACATCTGTCTTAAAGGGGGGAATATTGTTGGAGAACCCCAAAAAGAAATATTATTACTTATACTATTATAGTCTACCAAAAGAGAGACACGGTGTATATATTGATATGAAATAACAATACTCTACCAAGCCTCTACCTCGCCCCTAAAACTGAATAAAATCACTAATGCATAGTTTAATATATATTTATTAATATGTTTGTCACGCTTTCATGAAGATAGATTTGATGATTTTTATGGTGTACTCTTAGCTCCTTAAAAAAAAAAAAACTATCAATAGTCAAATAAACAATATTCACCTCTAAAATGAGAAAATGAATCCTCAAAAACAGATTTGTGTGTTTGGACTGTTTCTCAAAATCCCTCAATTGACTGTTAAATGGAGATTTCTGATCCCCACACCACATTTACTAAATTAAAATCTGCAAGGTTGGGATCAATTGATCAGTCCGTCAATTAAATGCTCTCAAGTTTGGGGGATTGAGAGCTACAGGAAAAACTATGAAAGTTAATGTTATGGCTAAAATCTCAATAATTAGCAAGGGGAAAATAGTTTAATAATCTTTTATTAACTCTTAATATTATTTTAAGTTGCTAATTTTCAAAAAATGGCTGGGTGTAATTTTATTTTGCATCTTGCTATATATATTGCACTTGCCAGTTTAAAAATTGTAATCATGGATGGATGAGACAATGGTAATAATAAAGCTAGCAGACAGAAACAGACTAATTTCCAGATCTAGGCTATAATGATCAGCAAAACCAAGTACATTCAAACTAGTGAACTGAATAAAGTAAGTCTAGACAACTTTTTAAATTAATCATTTAAAAACACCTGACCACTAAAAACAAGATCTTATCACTTCGCTAAAACTTTAAATCTTTGTGCTTATATGTATCATAAGATATGGATCAAGTTATCTCAGAATCCTTGTAGACATTCATTGTATGCAGGTGATAAAGACCTCTCAAATTAGTTAATAAACCAAATAAATAAGAAGTTAAAATTTCCCTTTCAAGCAATGATATCAATAATGAAATATGGGAATTCTTTTTCCTTCCCCTGAAATAAAATTAATACAAGATTATTACCAAGAAGTAGAAACTCCTGTGTCAATGTTAGTGCCTACCCATGTGTATTACAGATAACACAAGCTTTAACTTATTAATCCAACTTTGCAAGCATTCGATTTTCAAGAATATGAATAAATTATGAATGCATACAACGACACATTCTTTTCCAATCCTTACACTTACACAGAACATGATCAGCAAATTTCACAACACATACTTCAAAGTGGAGATATTTGATGTCCCATTAACTGTCTGTCTATCTGTCTCTCTCTCTCTCTCTTTCTCTCACTTTAATGTAGAAGTCCCAACAAAGTCATATTTAAATACAGAATGTTGGGTAATTATTGTATTAAACAAAAAATGTTTTTATAAAGTTTTGTATCTATTCAACAAATTGGATTAAAATGTGTTGGAAATCAAATTCACAATTTAAAAATTATGTCTCATTTCAAGATAATTTCTACAAGTCAGCTTTTTCTAGTTAATTCACATTGCCCGCCAACACGCTACAGAGATTGTTTTATACTTTTTAATGAAAATGTGATACTAACAACTGCTGCAACATTTAAAACACAAAAGGAAAAAAAAATCTTATTCCAGAAAGACTAGGTGAGCAATTCCAAAAACTATACATTGTAAGCGACTGAGTAATTGCTTACTATTCGGGACAATTCCATTCTGTATCATCAGTTTGGTTTGGGAGGAGAGCAACAGAGGTAGGGCATTCTGCTTATCATAAATCATATTTGAGCTTAAAAACAATCTCATGAGTCAAGATAAACTTCATGAGTCAAAAGTTCATTTTCCTGAAAATTTCCAGAGGATAAAGCAGTAAAACAAAATTGTGTATTTGAGGTTTATAGTTCTGGACTCTTGTTCTACACTTACTCCAGAGTAAGGGAATCTAAATCAACAGGCCTAATTACTATAACTTCACTTGCATAAATGATCTCAAAATTTGATGTGAATTGGTTGGACTTTTCCAGTTAAAAATTAACTTGGGTCAAAAAGGACTATTCTTCAATTTGAAGTTTTTAATAAAAAAGGGAGAAAGGGGAGTAGTGGTCAAATAAGATGCCTGAAGCTTCTTTTTCTAAGTCTTACGGAAGCGCAGGACCGTGGAGGGAGCATGGGCTCTGAGGTCAAACAGACCTGGGTTTGAATACTGGCTCCACTATCTAATAGCTTAGTGACTGAACAAATCAACCTGGAGTCTGTTTCCAAATCTGCAAAATGGTGATCACACCCACCTCTTTAACAAACAGGGAGAATTACAGAGATAGCATGTAAAGTGCCTGGGACAGAGTACGATTTTTCAGTAAGACAGTTATGGATGATACATTCAATTCATAAAGAAAAAATTTAAGGTGCTTAATTTATTAGTGATTTTTTTTCATAGTTGATATTTTCTCTCTCCCCTCCCCTCTTTCCATTAAGCTCTTTCATTGCTTATTTTATTTAAAAATACAAAACTCTTGCCCTAACGCTAACCAGTTTGGCTCAGTGGCTAGAGTGTCAGCCTTGGCACTGAAGGGTCCCAGGTTCAATTCCGGTCAAGGGCATGTACCCTGGTTGCAGGCACATCCCCAGTAGCGGGTGTGCAGGAAACAGCTGATGAAACAGCTTTCTCTCTCATCCATGTTTCTTACTCTCTATCCCTCTTCTTTCCTCTCTGTAAAAGGTCAATAAAATATTTTTAAAAAAAAAAACAAACAACAACCAAAAAAAACTATTGTCCTAGCCAGTTTGGCTCAGTGGATAGAGCATTTGCTTGCGGACAGTAGGGTCCTGGGTTCCATTCCAGTCAAGGGAACATGCCCAAGTTCTGGACTCAATCCCCCTGTAGGGGGCCTGCATGAGGCAGCCGATCAATGGTTCTCATCATTGATGTTTCTATCTCTCCCTCTCCCTTCCTTTCTGAAATCAATAAAAATATATTTAAAAAATAAAAATACAAGACTCTTGCAACAACCTAAACAATAAGTAAATAAAATAAAACCTGATGGTTTCACCTCACCTTCTAACCCCAAAAGATAATAAGCCTTCCATGTTTTTCTGAGCTTAGACTTCTTTAAACACACACACACACCCCATGGGATGGTACTATCCATATTATTCTACAAGTTGCTTAAAAAAAAAAAAAAAAAAAAAAAAAAGCTTGAAAATATATACATCCTGGATAGCCTTCCAATGATCTACCTCCTCCTTAATGTCTGAATATTACTCCATATTCTCCAAGGAACAATTTTGTTCTTTCAACGTGCACACGTTTGAACAGTTTTACCTCAACCTTGACAGAGCTTTTGCATCTGTAGGATAGGTTCCTGGAGGCGGGATCAATGAATCGGGGCACACAGGACTGAAATCCCCGGAGGCAGAGCCACGTCACTCCCATCAAGGCTGATGGCTCACACCTGAGCTAGCCAACGCTCTCCCCCTACGTTCCGTATTTACTAACCTAATGATAAAAAGCAGCCGTCCCCATGCTTTCAGAGGCTTCTCTCCCATGTAGGAGGTTAAGTTCCTTTTCACGTTTATTGACCATTTGTATCTCTCCTGGCGTGAAACGAACTCTTCAAGCCCTTTGCCCATTTTCTATTGTTCTTGTTTTTTGTTGTTTGTTTGTTTTTTTGCTTTTTTGCTTTTTTCTTATTCACTTGTGGGACCTAAAGCGTATTAGGCATATTGCCTCTGAATTACACGCTGTTAAAGTAGACCTGATAACTTTATGCCACTTTCGAGACTGATTAAAAAAAAAAAAACTATTCTGAGTAAAAGCGAACAGGTATACTTCATCGGGGGGGCTTTGCAAAACACCATCGCATACTGTTCTCTTAGGAAAACGGGGTGCCAGCGGTGGTGCAAACGTGTCAAGTTCAAGTTCCAATAAACGCCCCCCCCCCCCCAATCCCCCTTTCGCTGTAACAGGTGTCAACAGTATTTCCTTCGCTCCTTGTGAGGTCAGCAACATTGTTCCCCCAGCGGGAGCGCTCTGGGGCGAGACACCTCATCCTGATCTTCCAGGGGGAAAAAAAAAAAAAAAGCCACCGCAGGGCTGTCCCCCTGCCCGGGCCGCTGACCTGGCAGCCACCGCGCTGACCCCCTGGAGCCCGCACGGTCCCCCGACGGCCACGGCGCCGCCCCGACAGCCCCCGGAGGTCACCGGGCGGGCGGCGGCGGCCCCCACCTTCCCGGAACCTGTCCACCCCGCCGGGCTCCTCGCCAGGTCACCGACGTCCCCACCGCGACCGGAGGGGAGGCCGCTGCACGCCGGCCCGCCCGGCGGCCGCGATGACAGGCACCTTGCCTGCCGGTCCGCCCCGCGAGGAAACCCACCCACCCACCTGCCCGGCGCCCTTACCCGAGCCTCTGCTTCTCCTCCCTAGTCATGGGCGCGGCCCCCGCCGTCCACAGGGACGTGGCCGTCACCAGGCAGAGCGCGGCCGTCGTCGTCGTCGCCACCAGGCTCCATGGCGCTGCCCGCTGGGGGGCCGGGGACCCACCGCCCCGGCCGCCTCCGGCTCCGCTCATGGCCCCGCGGTTCCGCGCACGCGCGGCGGCTACGCCCGGGCCGCGGGACACATGGCGGGGCGCGCGCGGCGAGGGGGCTGCGAGCCGTGCCGAGGAGGGCGGGATGCGGAGTGGAGCGAGCGGCCGCCGCCGTCGCCGCCGAGCTGTTCCGCGAAGCCGCCGAGCCGGTCTCCGGCGCCAGCGCTGCCACCGCTGCTGCCACCGCCCTCCGCCCTCCCTCGGCCGCCCCGAGCGCCTCCCCCAGCTTTCCGGTGTCGTAGTCTAGGAAACCACCTCCCCCGGCGCTACTTCCGGGTAGGGCTCCAGACGTGGAGCCCCAGGACCAATGGGGACCGGATACGAGAAAGGCTGGCTCCGAGGATAGGAGACAGCATTGGCCCGGAGTAGTGAGACGTGGACAAAAGGCGGGATCTGGCTCTTGGGCCCGCCCCCGGCCAGTGAACTTGCGACCTGAAGACTACTAGTCCCAGCGTGCACTGCTTCCCCCTCTTGGCTGTCCCGCAACCCGACTCCACCTGCAGGAGTGTCCACTCCGGGTGGGCGCGCGGCACCTGGGACTTGTAGTCCTCCGAGGGTCCCGGGCGGTTCCTTGGATCCCGCTTTCCCTGGCTCCCCGTGGCCAGCCCCCTCCCTCGGTGGAGTCAGCCCTTCCTCCCGACAGCTGCCCAGCCCTTTATCCCTCTGACCGCCACTGACGGTTCCCTAAGGCCGGCGGAATGAGGCTCCCAGGTCCCTAGCTCGGTGCCACACTTTTTAGAGAACAGTGTTGTTTGGAGTAATCCTCTCTCCTCAGGGAGATTGCAAAATACTAACAACAGCAATGATGAATCGAGCCTTCGAAAGCAGTATGCTGCGAGTTTTACTGGCACTCTTTCCTGCACTCTTCCCAACCAATTTGCAAGAGAAAACTCAGGCTAGCGAAGTTAGTTAGGGAACAAGCCCTTGTCACACTGCTGGATTAGGTAAGAGTCCAACCATCCTTATGACTCTGGAACCCCTTGCATGTAACCACTGCTCAATACCACGAGGGTGAAGGAGGGCACCTGAGGCCTCATACTTGATTAATAATAGTTATCTAAAAAAAAAAAAAAAAAAAACTCTCTGTGAGGAGAATGGTGTGAGTTGCACACAAAGTTTAATGCAGGAGGTTGGAACTTGGAATTTATTTTTGATGGCATTGTCCCAGGTTAACCACTGGTAAAGTGAGGCAAGGGCTCCTTTTGAAAAACCACATTGTTTATTCTTGTGTGATAATTCAGTGGGTAGGAGAGGAGCAGCGTTTAGGAGCTTGGATGTGATCTCTAAGACCACAGAAAATGGCTTACTCATCCCCTCCGCAGCATTCAGCTCTCGGTCTGGAAATTTTTCCTCCTTGGTTTCTATAACCTTGCATCATCCACCTCCCTCTCAGACTGACCATTTAGGAGACACCAGTGACTCCTCTTCCTTCACTGCCTCTCTTCCCTGTATGTTAAGGTTTACTTTCTGTCTTTTTTCCCACTCTTTATTTCTTGATTTCTTCCACTCATGAATTCAACCATTTCCCTGTGGTTGATTTCTCATCAATATCTGTCCTGATCTTTAGACACACATTTCCAGCTACCTAGTAGAAATTTCCTTTTGTCTGGCCCAAGGGCACAGACAAATGTCAGATGTTCACTGGTTCGAATTAATGCATCTAATGCATCAGAATCATCTTCAACCCATCCTCCTCCTTCATGGTTCGTGCCCGATCAGTTGCCAAATTATTGATATATAGGTTCTACTGCTGCTATCACTATCTTTCTTTCTGCTCCTACTTCTGCTCAGGCTCCATTACCTGTTTCCTGAGCCATTGCAATGCCCTCCTCGATTGTTTCCCTGCCAACCTACTTTTCTACTCCTTGCTAGTTGGCATTCAAGGAAATCCGTAAGCCTTCAAAACACTTCGTCTCCCTTCTACCCTGCCCTGCCCTCAAACCCTACATAATAAATAACAGATTCTCATGAACTTCTTGTGCTATATACTCTCTATGTCTTTGCTCCTCCTATCCCCTCATGTATCCCACCATCTTTGTCTGTAGAACCCTCCCCATTCCCCTGCCCTTCTGATCGTTATAAGCTATCCTCTCCCCTCTTCTTCCATTGTGTTCTGTGTTTTATTATTGTGCTTTTCACCATCAGCCATGTCCACTATACTATGACTGCTTAGTAGGGGTGTCGAACTCAATCAGAGAAGGGGCCAAAATCTAAAATCCAGCCTAAATCGCGGGCCGAATGGTTTACTGAACAGTCATAAACTGTCATTGTGATGGAAACGCAGCGGAGTGCAGTGATGACAGCGTGGTGCGGGCCACATTGCAAGGCCTGGCGGGACGGATTTGGCCCGCGGACCTTGTGTTTGACACATGTGGCTTAGAGGATACTGACATTAGTTTATTTATATGCATGTTCAAAACCTCAGGACCATGCCTCTCCTGTTACAGATGCTCAAAAATCGTTGGATATACTTGTTTCCTTATTCCTTCAGTTTCCTTATCTATACAACAGGAGTACTGTCGCCCTTTTATCTACTTACATGGAGATTGTGAAAACACATGAGGTCATTTCTGCACAATATTTGATTTTATCCTTTTTAATGGACCTGCAACCCTATATTGGCGCCACCCTGGATCCGCCTTGGCAGCTCTGCTGATGAAGTTAGCTAAATAAATAATACCTGTGAATTGTTCTTGGCCCTGGCGCAGAGAACACAGAGAGTTAAAGGTCAACACCCATCATCCAGTATTTGAAAACGGAGAACAAAGAAAACAGAAAAATAGTCAGTGACCTTCAGTACTGACTTTTAATGTGTAGGATTTTCTGGGTTATTTTTCCTTCCTTGGCTTATTTGTTTGTTTTCAAATGAACTCTGCATTTTAAAAGTGAATAATGAGATCCTAAAATATGCTCTTTGTTAACCTGCTAGATAATAAGCACCTTTTTCTTTCTCACTGAAATTCAATTTCTAGCCAGTGATTGAGCCCACTTTTTTCATTAACTTGCCAAACCCTAAGTAGAAAGGTTTGTGGAGCCTAAAAAGCATTAGAACTTTTATCATATTCAAGGGGAGCCCCTGGAAGTGAAAGAAAAATATGTTCACACTGAATTTTTTTTTCCTTTTTAAAAAAATAAATTTTATTTTTACAGAGAGAAAGAGAGAGGGATAGAGAGTTAGAAACATCTACCGAATTTTCCGGCATATAAGACGACTTTTGAAACGAAAAAAAGCCTGCTCAGATTGGCCAGAGTCAGAGAGGCGGTCTATTAAAAAAAGAACTGGTGTTGCCTCGGAAGTGGGGGGTAGTCTTATACAGCGAATATAGGCCTAAACCTATGTTTTAATTATAAAATTAGGGGGGTCGTCTTATACGCTGGAAAATATGGTATGACAGAGAGTCATGGATCAGCTGCCTCTTGCACATCCCCTACTGGGGATGTGCCCACAACCAAGGTAAATGCCTTCGACTGGAATGGAACCCAGGACCTTTCAGTCCCGCAGGCCTATGCTCTATCTACTGAGCCAAACCGGTTTAGGCCACACAGTGAATTTCAAATGAGAACTCATTTTAACCCTTTAATGGAAACAACAGAATTTCTCAGTTAGTTGGCAGTTTATGGACACTGGGAAAAATTTACATTCATCATTTTAAAACCTACACATGTTACTTTAGAACTTTAGTGATGAAAATGACATAGGAGTTAAACAAGAGAGAGACCTTGGCCTTTTCTACTCAGGGGGAGAAACAATAGTGGAAAGCATTCAGGAGAAGGATTTTTAAAGAACATGGACAAGATTTTGGATGGGTAACGCCCATTCAAAGCGACAAGAAATAAGACCCATTTATAAGATGCCCTTTAACCAGTTGAGGAACAGTGAGTTTGTTTGCACAGCCTTGTGACTTACGTAAAAAGATATGCTCACCTGGTGTTCTCTTTATTTACTTGCCGGCCGGATCAGGAGTTAGGGAAAGGGAGGAGTCCTGGTTAGAATCTTATGGCTCAGATATAGTCCCAGGAGACTAGGACCAGTTGTGTGAGGTTGGCTAGACAGCAAGCAGTTGTCCCTAAATGACTTGAATTATTTAATATGACATCTAAATACCCTAAACGCCCGTGTGGAATTTGGGAGTGGTGCTTTCGGTATTCTTCAAATCACTGTTCCTATTCTCTGGTAGCATGTGGCATTTACAGAACACTTCTCTTCTTGAGAACCCAATCTTGCAAACACCAACAAGGACAGGACTCACTCTACGCTCACAACTAGAGACTTGAAGACCCTGGAAAGAGTACTCCACGGAAAAGGTAGCCAGTGAGTGCTGTGGACTGACTCTATGCTTGGCTGTCTGCCTGACTTCGCCTAAATTCCAAGGAAGAGAATAGGAAATGTGGATGATTTTCTACCCCCAGTGAAGTTCCCAGGGCTTTTTCTACCCGTCAGTCATGATTTAAGACCTTCAAAATCACTTCAACCTCAGACTATTATTCCACTTCTCTCAGTGACACCTGCACCAGCTGTCACAAGCACGTCATGTTTAATGTCAAGCTCGTGCATGTGGTTGAGTGTCTCATTTAGCAGCCATTTTTGTATGGGGGGGGGGGGAGGCAAGTCCATGGTTCTTCACAAACTAGTGCCTAAATCCCCATTTGCACGACTAACATAGTTGGTTTTTGTTTTGTTTTTTCAACTGATTTTCCACAGAGAGGAAGGGAGAGGGATAGAGAGCCAGGTGAGAGAGAAACACTGACCAGCTGCCTCCCTGCACACCCCCCACCGGGGAAGTGCCCGCAAAATGTACATGCCCCTGACTGGAATCGAACCTGGGACCCTTCAGTCCGCAGACAGATGCTCTATCCACTGAGCCAAACAGGTTTAGGCTAACATAGTTTTTACTTGACATTTCAGTTGGGACCCATAGGTTTTAAGGCATCATTCATTTCAGCATCATTCCGCACAGGCAGCAAAGGTAGTGTAGGTGGCCAAGAACAATGACTCTGAGCCAGTTGTGCTTCTTATTAGCGATATTACCTTAAGCAAATTACTAAATTTCCTTGTGCCTTCATTTTCTCATTTGTAAACGGGAATAAGAATACAGCGAGGCCTCCATATCTATGGGTCCGGCACCCGGGATTCAACGCACCATGGAGAGAAAATATCCCCCCGAAAAGCTTACATTGTTGTTAATGTATAGTATGTAGTTAGGCCTATGATGGTTGCA